AAAATGTTCAAGAAAATTACTTTTCAGTTTATACCTGTAAATTCAATGTAATTTTGTATTTCTTGAAAAACCCACTGAGGTTATAAAATTCTACAGTCCAACAATAATGCTTTAAAATCTGACTATGAATGTTATGATTGTGATTCTATTCTGTTAAAAAACACATTGTAGCTGGGTGCTCATGGCTCACATCTGTAATCTTAGCTATTCAGGAGACTGAGATCTGAGAATCATGGTTCAAATCTAGCCTGGGCAGGAGAGTTTGTGAGACTCTTTCTCCAATTAATCACCAAAACACCAGAAGTGGAACTGTGGCTCAGTGGTACAGCATAAGCCTTGAGCAAAAAGGTTCAGGCACAGTGCCTACGCTGAGTTCAAGGCGCAGGACTAGCACAAAATAAAAATAAAATAAAATAATTGGTTTATGATTTGCAAGACAGTATACTTCCAATGAAGGGTAGTAAATACCTTTATTTACCTTAAGGAATAAAAGTCAAACAATAAATATTTTCCATATATATATATTAGAATTCTACTCACCAAAATATTTACTGAATACGAGTTTTTACATATTACAATGCAATTTCACCAATTTTTGTACTACATGCAGTCTAGCTGTTAGTCCTATCACACTATGAAGTTGAATTTGCATTAATATTTTATCCTTCACTTTAAGTGTAGCTAACCAACAAACAAGAAGTCAAGTCCTGATTTGAATTTTGTTGATTAGCATGAGGCGAATATTACCGCACATCTATGGTATTTCTATCATGTAAAAACAGCAGATGCACGTAGTTTCAATGTGTACGTGTTAGGAAATGACTGGTTAAGTATTACTTTAATACTTTATGTATTAATATTCATCACTCATGTTTACAATCAGCTCATAAATATTCAGAGAAGTTAACAATCGATTCTTGTAATTCAGTTTAAACCACTTCCAACACACTACCACCTTTAAAAAGCTAAAATCAGAAATGTGATTTCCTTACATGACTACAGTGTGTGTTAACCCCTTCACCACCACCACAGACGAGATCAGGTCTCAGCAGTCGTTCCTAAAACTGAAATGGGCAAACTTGAAAGTCAGTAACAATCATGCAAACTGAAATGAGCATTTACAATCAGCGAGCAGGTTTTTGGTTGAAAGGGGATAGGATTTCTGATAGGGAAAAAGAACTGATTTTTATCGTTACTGTCCATTGAACGCTAGGCTTGGACTTGCTATGCCGGTGATCTACTAGGCTGCACAGCCTGCTAAGAGGCACAGAATCCTCAGAAATAAATGACACACAGAAAAATACATGGACATGAAGAAAGGCTAGATTTACGCGAGAGACACTGTGTATGATTCGGGGCAGCGGTGAGCCATCCCGCAGAAGGAACTCAACCCGAACTACACCAAGAAATAACGGCGTCAGGGCAAGGACTCCCGGCGCCGCGCTCCGGGGAAGGCAGTGCAAATTAGAGG